GAAATTCAAAATGCGCTGGTTTCCAAACGAAGGACGCTATTGAGCTGGGAAGTTGTAAAGAGATAAATTTAGTACCTCTTTTTCTGATGAGGATAAAAACTTTGGTGGCTCTTTAGTAAGGGATTTAAGAATTTGAGGACGTCACGTGAAAATAACGTTTTATTCTGCATGGTCGAAACTTGAAATTTGTCTGAAAATTTCAGCTTAATAATTCTGAATTATGAAAATGACACTTTTCACTGCTTTGAAAGGTGAAAATAAAGATAAAAATTGCTTTTCTTGGCTTTAAAATTAGAATGTAAAGCCTTTCAATTTTCTTTCAAATTTCAGTTTCAAATGAGTGAAGTGTTCAGTGTCATGCAACCACTGTGACAAACCCGAAACACTCGATTCGTTCAGCACTGTACAATTTTTTTGAGCAAACAAGAATTTCATTGCTGGTTTTTCTCGCGAAGACTCCATAAAAAGTTCTGTTATGATGTTTTCCGGATCAATGCTTTCCTTTTGGTCTTTGTGTAAGATAAAATATGACGGTTACGATGTTGTCATAAACGAATTTGTAAGTAAAACAGTTCCCCTTTAAATCACTCACCCGTTTTCTCCAGTAACGCTCTGTAGAATCTCGCGTAACTAATGCCAGCGTTGTCTTCGTTGATTGACAGCCGAGATTCGTGAGCATGGACGACGAAAACGGCGAAATCCATCGGTGGTTCAGATTGGATGGTCTTGCACAAATCCGTCATTTCTGAGGGAGCAAAGTACTTCTTTGTGGAGATCGAAATGTCGAAGCTTAGTTTGTCTTTGATGGCGTTTAACAACTTCTCCACCACATCTAGCTTGTAGGTTTTATCACAGTTAAAAAGATGGAAACATTTCTTGTTCCCTTCCTTTCTTTCTGGCAGCGGCTGTTCCTCATCCATATTCGAGTCTGTGTTTTCCTCCATCTTGATATTAACACTGTTTTGGTTTCAAACCGATTCCACGAATTCAGCGGCTTTAACGTCAAATTTGCATATATGGACTCCCCAGTTCAGCGTCACGCAAACCTCTAACTTTGTTTGGCATCTTTTTGTGAATATAAAAGCCAAATACTGCCATTGATAATTACTTAAATTTTATAAAAAAAGATTCATAAATGTTTTTTGGAATATTCATTCAGCGTATTTTAAAAAACAGCTGCCCGAAAATTGGAGTTATAAAAGTGGGTTTTCTCGGAAAACTTTTCGTGACGTCACAACGCTCTGTTCAGCCCAAAAGTGAGCTAAAGCGAAAGCAGATAGAAATTCGCGTCCGATATTTCGTTGTGAAACGCAGGAAAACAGTAGTTTATACCACTAGTATGTGATAATTTCTTACAAAGCGAACATGGCTTACAACAAACAAATAGAAGATGAGGAAATCACCCAGCTTTGTGGTCGAATACTTGAATACAAGATCGGGGCTTACGAGGAGTTCCATGATGCATTGGCTGGCGAGATGGAAGGTTGTCGCCTGAATGCTGCACTGTTTGGTATGACTGGCTCAGGAAAATCAGCTCTGATTAACACTATATTCAGGTCACTAGGCATTACACTGGAGCCGGCTGTAACTCAGAGCACTGGAAAGGAAGGTACGACGATTTTGGACAGTTATGTTGTTCCGGGAACCCAATTTACGCTTTACGACACGCGTGGATTCTTCGAGTTAGACAAGGCGGAAGAAGGTAACTTCTTTACTTCTGAGAATTTCTAATAAGAGCCTCCTTATGATATAAAGGAAATCGAGTGCCATAAACAGAGATATATGAAGTATTCGGCATGTTTGTCCTCGTCGCTCGGAGAGCTTTATACTCGGATCAACAGATCAGGATCAAGCTAAGGTCAGACCATGAAATTACACAAAATGAAAATTGAAAATTCACGTAATTAAGTTTTGTCACAAAAAAGACTGCAATGAGAATCTGAGCCAAAAAGTGAACGAAGCCGGAAGTGAGGAAATCGAGTGGGGATTGGGGCGGGAGTTACGAAATCTGTTGCTATGGTTACCTAAACAAACGGGGAACAGTATCTGCAAGGCAACATATGATTTGATTTGTTTTGTTTTGTTTTGTTTTGTTTTGTTTTGCTTTGCTTTGTTTGTTTTGTTTTGTTTTGTTTTGTTTTGTTTTGTTTTGTTTTGTTTTGTTTTGTTTTGTTTTGTTTTGTTTTGTTTTGTTTTGTTTTGTTTTGTTTTGTTTTGTTTTGTTTTTTGTGCTATAAATTCTTTTCTGGATGGAAATAAGATCGGGTATTGTCCAAACTAGCAACTGGAGATCTATGTTATTACTGTTAACCATCTGTTTGATTCCTGTCAGCAGTATATGTAGAACTGCATATAAGGTAAACATAATCGCTATAATAGCCCTTTTAATTTGACGGTTAACTTTCAACATTTGCTTTACAATTTAATCTAGCATGTATGTGAGGTAATTTCAGGCAATTTTTACTTGTTCAGCCCATGACTGCCCCTACTCACGTTAGATTACCTTGAAATGAGGGCTGCCATCGAACCCTGTGTGGTGTAAATGACATTGCAAAAGGCCCTCTTAAAGGCCCTCTAGACACTTGAACACTGCGAGTGTTGCGTGACTTTAACATTGCGAGTGTTTCGTTACATTATATTTCATTGTGTCGTACATGTAGTGTGATTTAACTTTATTATATGAGCCTGCAATCCTTGTGGTTGTCTCGTGGTTGCAGTTGGCCGCCATGTTTTGTGTTAGTAAGAGATTTGGTAATTAAAGCCTAATATTCTGCGGGCAAACGTCTTCTCTCATTTACAACACCCTGGTCTTCATTTGATTTACTGCCCATATATAACTATACTATGAAAGCTCGTTTTCTTGATAAACGCTCAAGAATTTGAGAGCACAGTTAAGGCTACCTAGAGGCTCCTTGAGAAGGTTTCGTGAATTATCCGGTTCTATTACAAATTACATTACATATTAAAAATGAATACCCTGAGAAAGGTACCTCGTTTTTACACTATAGGTTATAGGTTAAACACACAATAAGATAACAGGGTCCATATATCTGGTCAAAACTTAGCAAGGAATTAAGGACTTCACCAACTCTCGCGACACTTATGACAAGAATAAGAAAAACTGACCAATCAGACCTCATTGAAAAAAATAGCAGTTGCTGCAAACTATGTAAATCATGAACAGAATCATTCGATATTATTATTTATATAATAACCCAAGTTATTTTCCCATTTTGATCGGTACTCGCCTATGATCTATTAGAGGACAGACGCACGATTGACGTAATCATTACAAAGTTTTTCCTTCTGTGTTTTAAAATGGCGGAAAGTTTTGAGAATTTAGATAATATTTTACGTGACTGGGCAAATGATAAGGTACATAAAAGTCTTGTCGAGGCATTCAACAGGTACGAGCAGCAGGAAGAAGAAAGAAAAAGCCGTTTTTTGTTTTAGAAAATGACTCTAACCCAAGCACAAAATTGGTCTTGGTAAGCCGAGAACCATTGTCGCTTATCTCGAATTTAACAAACCCAAGAAACCAAATGTTTATGAGATTAATTTATTTAAAAAAATTCAACTTTTATCAGTCTCAAAGTAATTGTTGAAACACTGATTAATGTCAGGAATGACACATCAAAACATCACTTCTTAAAATCAATTGAAATAAACACATAACCTTACTTTCCGATGCGAATATTCTAGTACGTTTCAGGGCACAGCAGCGAGCAAAGTATAGCTCACTACAGCTCACGGCCAACTGCATCGCAGCTAAAAAGATATCTCCGACACTATTTCAAACTGATTTGAGAATCACCAACCACAGAAGACACAAATTTCCACCGTCACTAACGCTCCTTCCATTCAAAACTCGAATCGAATGGCCTCCAGACTGACCCCAACCGCAAGTTTTCCGAGCGTATTTTTCAACTCCTGCAATATTCAAGGCAACGTCCAAACTTTTCGGCTCACAGGGCTGCTCTGATAACAAAAAACGACTTGACTTTTCCAGCATTTTCTTTAAGATTTGTAGATTTCGCAGTTCAATGCTGCTTTCGCTGTAAGTTTTCATTCCACGAGAAGCGACGCGCGAGTCAAGTTTGACAGTGGTGTGATTTTCCTGGACCAATCACAATTCTTTGCTAAGCGTACCAACCAATGAGATTGCTTCATTTTGTATAGACAATAGATTACGTCAAATGGCTTTTGTCGTGTTCGCCAAAGTGGGCAAAGGCCTGCTTTCGAGTTATGTTGAAAGATTTTGAAATAAAAAAGCTTTATCTGTAGTAGTTTGTTTCGTTATTATATAAAACAAATAGATTCCATATTGCCGAGCGTCTGTTCAGTAATAGATCACAGAAGATGTCAAAATGTGTTAAAAATATCAGTGACGCACTCGGCTAATGCCTCGTGTGCCACTTTTTTGTTCTTACCACATTTTGACGTCATCTGTGATCTATTTGTTAAATAGTGTTTATGATATGCTGTAAATAACTATTTATCAACCTCAACATTTATTTATTTTTTTTTTTTTGCCGTTGTTTTTTCGTTGTGTTTTGTTGTTTTGTTTTGTTTTGTGTTTGTTTTTGTTTTTGTTTTTGTAAACTAGTTATTAGCTATTGACTTTAGTTAGGTGTCCCCAATCAGCCAATCTATAGCTAAGTACACTGGCACGTTAAAAAAAGTTTTCATTCATTCATTCAAAGTTCTCTTTCCTAAAACAGGAGAGCTGTTTCGCATTTTATATGGAATTGAGCGACCAGGAGACAATTTGACCCGAGATTACACGAGCACTAATAAGGCAGAAGCCGCTGGAGCTGCTGCTTGCAGACTCGAGAAGCCGCCAATAGCTGACCAGATGCACGTGATATTGTGGGTTATAAAAGCTAATGATATCAGATTTCAAACGGGAAAATACCGAGAAATCATCAAGTTTGTTCAATACCAGCTGAGAAAAGCAAGTGAGTAGTGAGTTGAACCAACGGATGGTTGTGCTTAGCCTAGAAGTGTAAGCTTGCATTTCACCATACTGCTTGACATTACTGCACATTATGTCATGCACGCCACGCCACGCCACGCCACGCCACATCATGTCACGTCCCATCACATTGCATTACATTACGTTGCACTTGTACACTAGACGGATAGCTTTAACGATGTTCCTCATTTAATTTTCACCGAGGCAAGAGTGATTTTTCAACGTCTCTGAGCATTTGCAAAACGTATTTTTAAACGATTTTGCTCCAATCACTCCTTGATTAACACTTAAATAAAAAAATTTGCACATAGCAACGCCCATAGCAATGGTTGTCTACAGTCCAAAAGTGCTTACAAAACAGTTCATTTCATTTATACTTTACAGGAAAGCTTAACAGATGTGTGCTATTAGATTTCAGATGCATCATAGTCCTGAATATTGTTTTCCTCTACCATCATGTCCGCCCAGTTTTTGGAAGCAATCAAAATCATCACAGCTATAGAGCGTTTTCACATGCCGTCACGGCAACCATATTGGTGTTCCAAATCAATGAAACGGTGGCCATGTTGGTGTCCTAAACCAATCCTGTAGGAGTTGAACTCTTAACTTATCTAAACTTTTTAGTTCAGATAAATTTGCATGGGTGCTGGCCCAGTGAGTGAAGCCGCAGACACTGTTAACTGTTGCTCTGTTTTCTGGTTATGACAGCAATCAAGATCATCACCGTCATCACATTTGATGACGAAATCGCGAAAAAGCCGAATGCCGATGAAGAAAGAGAGAGGCTGAAGGAAGCAGCTATTGAAGTCACTGGAAGCGACAAGAAAAACGGCGTGTTTATGATCGCCAACTCAGTGCGCGGACAAGAATATGATTCAGTTTACAAGAAACGCGTGCTGGAGATGCTGGAACAAGCAGCTAAGTGCGGAGAGCGATCCATAAGGATGCGACAAACTACAAGAGAAAGCCCCAAGAAGCAGACACGGCATTCCGATTCTGATGCTGGTGTCAAGTGCCCTGTAGAAAACACCGAGGAACCAGACTATCCTGGTAAAAAATGGTGGTCACTGCCA